AGGAGAGGGAGGAGAGGAGCAGGTGAGGGTCTGTGGAGGGAGTGGGGACACTGAGCCCGGGGGGAGAGGGTCCAGGGCTGGACAGTGGGGCTGCCACTGGGGCTACACCACGACATTGCTGACACTTGATCGCTTTTGACCTACAAATATCCCCACCCCAGCGCTCACCTTCACTCTCTAGAGCCTTCTCTGGCCTCCGGAGCCTGACCATTTTGACAGGGACTTAAAATACATCTCAGGAGAAAGGCTGTGGGGCGCCTGGCCTGTCCCTCGCCGGGCCCTGGCTGTGCCCAGCCAGGTGGCAGGGATGTTGATGTTGACGGGGTCCCGTCAGTGACGTCTCTTTCTGGCAGGGTTGGGACAACCGAGGAGACTGCAGCACCCCCTGCCCTGCTCACAGATGAACGGGATGACTAGGGGGACAGCGATGGGCCTCACGGGCCCGCCCAGCACCCTGAGACCACACTGGTGCCTCCCAGTGACCCTGCTGGGACATCAGGACAAAGAAGACACTGTCTCGCCTCTCGAAAGCCGCAGCTGCGCCTGGGCTGGCGCCAGAAGGGTGGGTGAATCCGGCTTGGGCATCCACAGGGAACTCTGCCCTGCCTGGGACTCTGTTTCTTCTGATTAAAGGGGTTTTGCAGATGGGCTTGTCCCTTGGGGCTCTGTGCCTGTGACTGGAGCCTGTGCCTGAGCATTGTGCCCAGGGCCTGTTCCTGCTGCCTTGGGGCCACCTCCAGGCGCCGTCCTGGGTCGTGGGAACCTCAGCTGGAGTGGGGGCGCCCTCTGCTGGTCAAGCCCCAGATGGCAGGAACTGGACCGTGCCAGGGCTTGATTCGCTCACTGCCTTTGACCAGCCTGAACCTGTGCCCAGAAGGGGCTTACACCGCACAAGTGAGCCGAGCAGGCAAGGATCGTGACCAGAGCGATGCGCCAACCATCACTGGAGCAGGAGGCAAATGTAGAGAGGGACTTGGAGGGGAGACATACCAGTTGCAAATGAGCTGTGGGGACAGTTGCCTCCCAGGCATAGGCAGCCAGCACCTGGGCTTGGAGGCGCACAGGGCTTGGTGAGGCAGGGCTGGCCCCCTGCGTCTGGCTGCCAGCAGTTGGCTGGAGCATGGTGACCCTGGGTCTGACTGGGCTGAGTTTGAGGAGCCCGTGGGATACCAAAAACCCTAGGCTGTGGGGGGTGGGCACAGGGATTCAGGGACCAACCCGTCATGACCCCAGTGCTCCAGGCCTGCAGGGACCAGCTCGTCACGGCCCCAGTGCTCCAGGCCCACGGGGACCGGCCTGTCACGACCCCAGTGCTCCAGGCC